GAAATTGAGGAGGAAGAGCATTTGTAACAGAACCCTATTGGTTCAGTTTTTATGGAAGATTGTAGAGATGCGATCGAGGATGATAAAGACGGTAATTTTGATAATTTTGTAAGATTTTCTGAAACTTAGAGTTAGTATGTTGATTTCGAGATTTGTACATGACATTCAAGTTTTTATGTTTTTTTTTTAACAAGCAGAGTTCATTTTACAGCATTTTTATAATTAATATATATATATATATATATATATATATATATATATATATATATATATATATATATATATATATATATCACAACTTGAGTAAAGTGTTTGTTTAACCTATTAAAAATCTCGCTATATTTGATTTTTTCTAAAATTTTGTAAAACACAAAAATAATGATTATAATGGTACTCTCATATCATAATACATACTCCATTTTGAAGTAGTATCCCGATTTCCTACAAATAAAAATCGATGATTAGGAAAATGAAGGTGATAGTATTAAAAAAATGAAGGTGAATATGGTTTTGATTATAGATGAAAAATAATAATACTAATAATAATCAGTAAAAAAGTTAGCAATAAAATAGAAAAAAAATCCTTAATTCACAAAAAATGGAAAAGGAAATGAAATTCACTTATTAATTAGTACTAATAATAATCAGTAAAAAAGTTAGCACCAAAATAAGAAAATAAAAAAGAATACGCAATTCACTGAAAATGGAAACGGAAATAGAATTCACTAATTAATTAATACTACTAATAATAAGTAAAATAGAAAAATAAAAAAGGATTCTTAATTCATTAAAAATGAAAAAGGAAAGACGAGATTGGGCAAAAAAAAAAGGTCATAATAACGATACCAGTAAAAAAGGAAAATCCTATAAAAAAATTACTAATTAATAATAATAAGGATATGAAATTAAATAATAATAATAATAATAATAATAATAATAATAATAATAATAATAATAATAATAATAATAATAATGTATACTATTAATAAAAATAAAATCCTCCTATGTAGTTTCCATTTTGAAGTAGTTTCCTGATTTCCTACATAATAAAATGGATGATTAGGAAAATGAGGATGATAGTATTCAAAAAAAAAAATGAAGGTGAAGATCAATTTGATTATAGATGAAAATAATATGTGATTGTGCTGAGGCATGAAAATAATAATTATTTTTTAATTAGATAATTTTTATTTTAGCATATCTTACTATTTACTATAAAGTCTATATACTGTAACATGTTTTTCTATTTTATGTAAAAATCATATAATGTAATTGAATTTTTATTATTAAGATAATCGTTTATATAATTTCTATAGTTTATCTATACTCTTACTAAAAATAAAATCCTCCTTCCTTGCATTCCCGCCGAAAGAATAGAAAAGGAAAAAAGTTACTAATTAATAATACTAATAATAATCAGTAAAAAAGTTAGCAGTAAAATATGAATATAAAAAAATATCCTTAATTCACGGAAAATGGAAAAGAAAATGAAATTCACTGATTAATTAATACTAATAAAAATCAGTACAAAAGTTAGCAGTAAAAATAACTGAAAATAGAAAAGGAAACGGAATTCAATGATTAATTAATACTAATAATAATAGTAAAATAGGAAAATAAAAAGGGATCCTTAATTCACTGAAAATGGAAAAGGAAAGGCAAGATTGTGGAAAAAAAAAAAAAGTCATAATAAGGATACAAGTAAAAAGGGAAAATCATATCAAAAATGACTAATTAATAATAATAAGGATATGGAATTAAATTAATAATAATAATAATAATAATAATAATAATAATAATAATAATAATAATAATAATAATAATAATAAAAATCTTCCTATGTAGTTTCCAGTTTGATGTGGTATCCTAATTTCCTACAAATTAAAATGGATGATTAGAAAAATGAAGATGATAGTATTCAAAAAAAAAAAATGAAGGTGAATATGGATTTGATTATAGATGAAAATAACATGTGATTATGTTTAGGCATGAAAGAAAATCTTTTTTTTTTAATTAGGTAATTTTAATTTTAGCATATCATACTATTTACCATAAAGTCTATATAAAGTAACATGTTTTTCTATTTTATGTAAAAATCATATAATGTAACTGAATTTTTATTATTAAAATATATATTTATAAAATTTCTATAGTCTATCTATACTCTTATTAAAAATAAAATTCTCCTTCCTTGCATTCCCGTCGAAAGAATAAAAAAGGAAAAAAGTTACTAATTAATAATACTAATAATAATCAGTAAAAGAGTTAGCAGTAAAATATGAAAATAAAAAAAAAAGATCCTTAATTCACGGAAAATGGAAAAGAAAATAAAATTCACTGATTAATTAATACTAATAATAAGCAGTACAAAAGTTAACAGTAAAAATAAGAAAATAAAAAAAAAATCGTAATTCACTGAAAATAGAAAAGGAAACGGAATTCAATGATTAATTAATACTAATAATAATCAGTAAAATAGGAAAATAAAAAGGGATCCTTAATTCATTGAAAATGGAAAAGGAAAGACAAGATTGTTGAAAAAAAATCATAACAAGGATACAAGTAAAAAAGGAAAATCATATAAAAAATGACTAATTAATAATAATAATAAGGATATGGAATTAAAATAATAATAATAATAATAATAATAATAATGATGATAATAATAATAATAATAATAATAATAATAATAATAATAATAATAATAATAATAATAATAATAATAATAATAATAATAATAATAATAATAATAATAAATCCTCCTATGTAATTTCCAGTTTGATGTGGTATCCTGATTTCCTACAAATTAAAATGGATGATTAGGAAAATGAAGATGATAATATTAAAAAAAAATAAAAAAAAAAATGAAGGTGAATATGGATTTGATTATAGATGAAAATAACATGTGATTATGTTGAGGCATGAAAGAAAATCTTTTATTTTTAATTAGGTAATTTTAATTTTAGCATATCTTACAATTTACCATAAAGTCTATATAAAGTAACATGTTTTTCTATTTTATGTAAAAATCATATAATGTAACTGAATTTTTATTATTATTATTATTATTATTATTATTATTATTATTATTATTATTATTTTTGAATGTTACTGGCCCTATAAAAATCATATAATGTAACTGAATTTTTATTATTAAGATATATATTTATAAAATTTCTATAGTCTATCTATACTCTTATTAAAAACAAAATCATCATTTCTTGCATTCCCGCCCAAAGAATAGAAAAGGAAAAAAGTTACTCCGTTCTAATTAATAATATTAATAATAATTAGTAAAAAAGTTAGCAGTAAAATAGGAAAAAAAAAAGATCCTTAATTCACGAAAAATGGAAAAGGAAATAAAAAAAAAAATCGTTATTGTTCTAAACGTTGCTTCAAGTGGAATAGCATCTTTGCTATTGCCAGGTGGTAGGATGCCGCATTCTCGATTTGCTATACCACTTTCAGTGAATGAAGATTCTACCTACAATATCTCGCAACGTAGTGACCTTTGCGAACTTATAATCAGGAGCAAATTGATAATATGGGTTGAAGCACAGATGATAGACAAATACTATTTTGACCCTTTAGACAAAACCATGAGGGATATATTGAGATTCACCATACCTGGTAGTGATCATAAAACATTTGGTGGAAGGACAGTAGTATTGGACGGTGATTTTAGACAGATTCTTCCAGTTATTCCAAAAGCAACGAAAGACCAATGGTTGTGGGAGCCACTATTAATTCTCCATACCTCTGGAGGAATTGCAAGGTATTGAGACTCACGAAGAACATGAGACTACAGAGCTTAGCTTCAAACGAAGATAGACAAACGATTGATTGGTTCTCAAGATGGATTGCAGACATCGGAGATGGGATTACATGGTTTGTAAACAATGGTTTGTTTTAGATCGATATTCCACCAAGGTTTATGTTGAAGTGTGGACCTGATCCAATTGCAACTATAGCTGAAAGCATCTTCCCAACAGCGAAGTATAGAATGCTAGAAGAGTCGCACCTAGAAGGACGAGCGATCATCTCATTGACTTTAGATGTTGATCAAATTAATCAGTATATGCGTGACATGAACACTACAGAAGTTCGGACGTATTTAAGCTGTGACTCTTTGTGTAAGGTAGAATCAGATGGTGATAATCTCTCACAAGTACACAGTCCTGAATTTTTAAATAGCTTGAGATTGTCTGGACTTCCTAATCATTCATTGACAATAAATGTTGGTGCACATGTTATGTTACTGCGGAACATAGACAACTCTCTTGGTCTTTGCAACGATACGCGCCTCATCGTTACAAGATTGATGGATCATATTGTCGAAGCAAGAATAGTTAATGGAACGCAGCAAGGAAACAAAGTTCTTATACCACGAATGTCTCTCACCCCTTCTGATGCGAGATTGTCGTTCAAGTTACAGCATAAACAATTTCCGTTAATGCTAGCATATGTAATGACTATCAACAAAAGCCAGGGTCAAACACTAACTCACGTTCGCTTATTGTTGAAAAAACCAGTCTTTAATCATGGTCAATTGTACGTGGCTTTTTCCCGAGTCACTCATCCTGATGGCCTTAAGGTTTTTCTACTACTAATGCCGTCTATATAGAGGTTTTCAACAATGTGTAATTCAAAACAGTTATATTATGTATTCTTCTTGCACCAATATAACAAAATTGTTACATATCCACATATTACGTATATATTCCGTTACAAAAATTTTTATAGCTAAATTATTACACATAAAGATAATGTGATCAATTAATTCAATTCCGAAACATTCATACAAACATTAATTCAACGTTAAAATTTACACTATCAAATATGAAGCAAATTATAATTCATATATTATAACGAGTACATTCCGTGCATCGCACGGGTGCAAATACTAGTATTAAATAAAGAGAAAAAAAGTAATAGATTTTTTTCTAAATAAATTTAATTAACTAAGATAACAAGTATCGTGATATTTTGAGAACATACAATCCAATCTCAAATTCTCTAAGCATATACGCATTGATCTTACATAGTGCTATGAAGCAAAATATCAAGATCTCAGACTTTTCTTATTCTAAAAACACTGGGCAAAATCCCTTCTAATTTGTGTACTGCAAATTGTCACATTCAAATCTTCTTATGTCATGGCCTAAATTCTACTGCAACCTTAACTCATAAACTAAAATGCCCCAAGTGTCACTGCATTAAGTACAAGTACAAGCAGAAAGGGAGACCTGGATTCAGAAAACAAAAGAAGCGTACACGTAAACAGCCATTTTACGCTTCGTCGGCTGTGTCTGAGTCTTCATCGCTTTCGTCGTCTTTATCATCACCCATAACTTGATACACTTTGATAGATAACTTAGAATCTTTTTCTCCAAAATATTCCAACCCGGGCTTGAAGTCTCGGTGCTTGACCAACAGCCAGCGGAGCAAACGGTCTTCCTTGTTGAGGTATTGCAGCTCACTGTTGAAGCTAGGAGGTGTCATCATTGTCATTTGCATCAGTGTCCCCTGAAATACAATAATACAGGCACCGAGTATGTTGGAGAAACTCATAAATCGTAATATACTATAAAATGCTCGAGTATGGATTACTTCCATTGAGATTACTTTCACGCCTATTCTTTTCATTACAAAAAAAAAAAAACAAAAAAAAAAAAACAAAAAAAAAAAAAAACAAACCTGATAATATCTGCCATCGAGTTTCCTAATACCATAGCCCAGCTGAACAGTTCCAAAAGATTTTACATCTGTGAGTACTCCATTTCTAGTGTAAACATGCTTCCCCACCTTAGTAACCAAGTCTATCATCGCCTCCTTAATTATATTGGGTTTCAACAAAAGCATGCAGTCATAAAGAGGCATCTTGGTGCTCCTCTTCTTCACTCAAAAACCTTTCTCAACCTATTTCAAGCACTATCAGACTTCAGAGATTCAAACATACAGAGAATGCAAGTAATAGCAAAACATTTAAAAGCTTAAAGGCACAAGCAAGTATAGGGAAAACACTACCAGACTTTCAGTAAATGTATTTTCCTAACATTTAAAGTTTGAGAATCACAATCATTGAATCAAATAAATACAACTAATACAAATCACACCAAATCAAGTAAGCATAAGTGCATAACTAAATATAGTTTTAAAAATTACCATTCCAGTACAAGGATTTGTCTAAATGTGTCCGCAGGCAAAATGCACTTTCAATTACAAAATCTTATTCACCTATCCACCATAATGCAATCAAAAGTTGTATCAATATTCAATAGTGTCCTACTAACTAATTTTACATCAGTTTAATTCATACATCTATCCTGCTCCAGACATCCACGAGAAAAACTACCATTTGCTACCATTACGAAACAATAAAATATTCATAACAGGATATTCCAAGACGCTTTAGTTTATATTTATAATTTTTTTTAAATAATCCCAACTTTGTTTATAGCAAGCATACAGAAATGCTAAATAAAAAATCATAACAAATTGACCTCAAGCATTTCCCCCCACATTAACTGCACCATGCACTCCCAACTATTATACACACGATTACACACACCATTATACTTTGAAATAACTTTGGCAGAATCATAAGACAACCAAATAATCTTGTTTTGAAACTTTACATGACTATTATAGACTTGAAAGTAAAACTAAAAAGCCAAACGAAAGGAAGAACTCATTTGAAGTGGATGTAGGTCAGATTCGTCTGAAATCCAGAATTTCTAAATCTATACAATCACACTTGGTAAATTTTGAACTCAATTAATTAAACAAAACCGAATTTTATAATTTCTCAAACCATTAACCAAACTGAAATTTGTATCTTCAACTCTAACCAATCTGAAATTTATAAGCTAATGAAATGAGTTAACTGAATTTAGCAGCATAATTAACAGGCTACAAATGAGCCATTTCCAACAAAAATGTTAGCACCCATAAAAATCAGATAACAATAACACCTAAGAATACAAGCATCCATAATCAAACAATGGGAACTGTTTCATATTTTTATTTTAGAAGGTGTTGTTTCACCTCAAGTCTACTAAAAACTAGTTTATACTGAATATTTGAGGTTTATATAGAGCATTTAGGGGTGGGCATTTCAGTATTCAGTTCGGTTTAAAAAAAATGATACCATTCGGTTTAACATTATAGTTTGGTTCAGTTTCATATTGGTTTGAAAAAGTTCGGTTTTGGTTAGGAATTAGTTCGGTTCGGTTTAAGAACCTGAATTCTCAACATTTCCTAATGAAGACAACCATTCATGTAAGATTTATATCACTCCAAGGTTTTTCTGGTTTACCAGACTAATGTGGGATGCTTAATTACCCATGTTTGGTTATCAGACTCATCCCACCACTCCCTGACCCATGCATCTTCCTTTATTTGGCTACCACCCATTATTAGTCTTCCCTAAAGCCACCTCCCTATGGAGCACTTGTAAGTTGTAATGTTATCAAGTTTCTTAAATTTCAACTTTATCCCCATCCTTAATCACTCATATGAAATATAGGATTGTTGATCCGATCCTTAATCCCTTTAGTTCCAATTGCAGAAAAAAGGGCATCTCTTTGCCCTTTCTTAAACAAAGAGCATATCTCAAAGTGTAATTGAATCTCACCCATTCCGAAGAGAAAAATCCAAGGAAATGAAGCAATTGAAACGGAAATCGGGACAAAAAGATAAGAAATTAAAGCGAGAATAGCAATAATAAAAAATCGAATGCTATAACCACCAGAAAACCGACCGTAGGTTTCGGTTGGTAACCAAAAGACAGAAAGAATAACAAATAATTCCACAATTAATAATCAAAAATTCAAATTTGCACTACTACGTAATTCCAAATCCAAAGGAAATAAGTAGACACAATGTTTTAAACCCAGTGTCCAGTACATTAATATGATTTGAATTGAATGATGATAGAAACATTGTCCAGTACCCAGGATTAGAAACAATGTAGAGCTATCATAAATTTAAACCTACAGTGATGATAGTCTTAAAATTAATTATGGTTTAACAATGCTAAAAATACAGAAAATTGAGAAAAATTAGTAGTAGCAAGCTAGCAGCAGTCAGCAGAAGCAGAAATAGTAGTAAAGTCAAAAAAATTAAACTAAAGACAAATAATTAAACTAAACATGAACAGAGAGTCAGAGACTTCATTGTTAAACCAACCAAATACATTAAAATTTACCTTGATTCCTTGAAACGGAGTGGTTGGCGAGTTGCGATCGCTGAGTCTCGTACGTACGCCGCTAAGTTGCTGACTGGGAGTGTCGTAGTGAGGTCTTACCGTTTGGCGTCTGAGGATGCGAGGAGCGAGGGCAGAGGGCAGAGGGCGGAGGGCGTGAGGCGGTAGAGATGAGGGAGAAAGCAGTGTGACTGTGATATTGAGGGCGAATCAAGCGGAAGAGTGGAGAAGCCGAAAGTCGAAGACGGAAAGACCGGAGAGTGGAGAAATGAGAAGCGGAGGAGGGTAGGGCTATTGTCTATTGAGTTTTATTGGGCTTGGATTCGACTAAATATTAATTTGTTATGGGCTATTGGCAGACTAGCCAATCATTATTGTGTGGACCATATTTTGTCTACTGTCAAATAATATACATTCAGTACAAAAATGATGTACATTGTATTTAGGAGATGTACATTATTTTTGTTTTGAGTGTACATTATATTGTATAATGTATATTTAGTACAAAAATAATGTACATTTAATATATTAAAATGTACTTTTTGTTATGGTCCATACAATAATTTGTCCAGACTAGCACCACTATTGTTTTGAGCAATCATTATTGCATGGACCATGGTCCACACAATTGTGTGGACCATAAATAAAAAAATACATTTTTAATATATTAAGGGTACATTATTTATGTATGTAAGGTACATTTTTTTATAGTACGTTTTTAATATACTAAGGATACATTATTTTATATAATGTATCTTTAGTAGAAAAATAATGTACCTTCAGTACAAAAAATAATGTACTTTTAATATATTAAAAATGTACCGGATATTTATGGTCCATACAATAATTTTTCTGTTTTGAGCTATATACCGTGTGGTTCATGGACTACAAATTTAAAATAGGAATAAAGGTCAAATTGGCCACTGAACGTAATGCATAAGTGCAATCAGGCCACTCGACCTAAAAACCGTTCAATTAGCCCACTTAACAACGCAAATGTCTTCAATTTCACCACATAGCCGATTTTCCCTTCTTGTTTTCGGTGGAGCGATGACATGGTTGTTTACCTGGCATTAACATCACTCCTCCTTGTGTTTCTTACTTATCCAGCGTGTAACCCAAATCTAGTCTGTGAAATCCCCAGAGGGTGAGGCAACAATAGCTCGGTGTAGAAGAAACCATAGGCGCAGTTGTAGAAGAGATGGCACTGTAATGGCTTATTCGAATTCTAGGTCTTCTTCAAGTTCTCCAAAAATACCTTCTCGCAATTATACTTTTCAATATGAGCCATGTTTGTACCGTAAATGTGGGTTGAAATCCCCATTATGCACAACTCGAGATAGTGGAAGAAAATTTTTTGGCTGTCAAAATTGGAATGTTAGATTTCTTATATTTGTTGTTTGTTATTTTTTTTCCAGTGCATTAGGGTGTTGCGTGTGTTTTCAGGGCAATGGATGTGGACTTTTCCTTTATGTTGAGGATTTGATGCAAGGAATGGGAGCTATGGAGTATGAATCTACCAAAATTGATTTAATGGAGTTAAAATGATTGTTGAAAGTGTAAGAGATGAAGTTGTGGTGGTCCAAAGTAGATTAGGGAGGATTGAAGAAGCCATGAAGAAAATTGGTACTGTAAAGATGGTTAAACTTGTAGGTGTTGGAGTTGTAGTTGTTTTAGCTACAATTGTATGGTTTAATGTTAGGTTTATGAATAAATCTGGACTTGCTTGTATTCTGTAGATGTAGTGTCTATGAATATGAATGGTTAATTATGAATGGTTCACTGGTTTATGAATGGGTGTGTTCACTGATTTATGAATGCTTACAATACCAAATTGTTCACTTGTTTATGAATGGTTGTGTTCACTGATTTATGAATGCTTACAAGTGAAAGCTATGCCATAAGCTATAATATGAAACTATAAGTATCAAGTCATAAGCCATCAACTCAAATGTTAAAACCATACTGAAAGCATTAACCATAAGCCATCAACTCAAATGTTAAACAGAAGCCATAATATGAAAACATAAACCATACTGAACCAGAAGTTAAACCATTAACATTAAGTCACTGTCAGTTTACAGGGTTAAACCATTAACATTAAGCCATAATATTCCCAGGCAGTTTGCAAAATACTAGGCAACAAGCCAGTTATAAAAAATTAGGTCATTCACAAGTTAGTCAATACAAGTTTCCACACTCCATAGACAAAAAGCAATGAATGTTTCACTCCAAGTTTCCAATATTGTTTCTTCTTGGCAACTTTTGCACTTGTTTTCCCTCCAACTGATAGCACTTGTTGTCCTCTTCTTCCAGGCTACAAAATGAAAAAATGTTAATACATTAATCATGTTATTTATAACCATGAATTTAAGAACCATGCATTAACTTACATTTAAGATTTGTGCTCCAGTATTTGGGTTGATGTATACACCAAAGCCACCAGATCTTTCCACAGGCAATTTACTTCTCCTAGTAACAGAGGCTGAGGCAGTGGCTGCATAGACTGTGAGGTAGATTTAGAGGCTGAGGCAGTTGTTGAAGCAGTGGCTGGCATAGAACTCTTTGCAGGACAAACTTTCTTTTGATGTCCCTTTTATTTACAAATGAAACATGTCATTACTCGACCTTGCCTTGAAATTTTTCCAACTGGGGGTTCTGTAGGCTCTCTGGTTCTTTTTTTTATTCTTCGGCCTACCAGTCATTAGCCTTGGTAAAGGGGCTAATATTTTTTTCACAATTAGTCTTAGGCCAGTTGATTTCCCCATTGAGTGGCTGGATAGTAAGACTGTAAATGTTCTTGTAAACCTCATTGGAGTAGCAATCATCAATGTATGCTTCTGGATCTTTGCCTAGATCAAAGATGGCACAACATGCATGTGCACAAGGTATACCTGTGAGGTTCCATGATCTACATGAACATGTTTTCCCTTGTAGCTTCACTTTGAATTATTGCCTTCCCTTCTTGATCTCATAGCCATCATCCTCATTGAAGTCAACATGTCAACCTATACTTTCAACTATGTTCTCATTCAATTTTTTCATTATTCTAGATCCAAAGTTACCAGGCCATTTCTCCACCTCTTTTCTACACCTTGCAATCCTTGTCATGGTAGCTACCCTTATATCTTCCAACATCTTCGCAATTGGTTTGTTCCTTGCCTTAACAATTGTTCCATTAAAGGCCTCACACATGTTGTTATCAACTGAATCACATTTCACTTCAGTTCTCATACATGCCTTGCACCAGAACCTTGCAAGATAATTACCCAAATCTGCCTTAGCTTGTGCATCCTTTAACCCCATTTAGTCAACCATTGCATTGAATTGCTCTTTAGTGGTTGCATTAGCTTACATCCAAAAGTGTCTTTTCAGAACATTTCCTCTATGTTTCTCGCTCCAATTTGCATGAATGTCTTGCACAGTTCCTATGTTCCACATTTGGCAGAAGCTCTTGTATGAAATTCACTAAACCCTACAGAAAAACAAACACAAACTGAAATTAGTGTCCACATACAGTTGATCAGTAACTTAAATAAGTTCTTATGACTTTAAAATTACCTTTTGTTGATCTGAAATTATTTTCCAATTTCAATTCCCAAGTCCTGAATCAATAACTGTAAAACCATCTCCAAGAATATGTATTTTCTATCTCAACCACTACCTAGGCTATTAGATACATCTGGTTATTAGAATCCCTCCCAACAGTAGCTAAGAGCTCACCCTTCATAACCCTTTGAGAAAACAACCATCCAAACCTATTACAGGTCTACACCCAGCGAGAAACCCACTTTTCAGTGCTTGGAAGAAAACATATGTCCTCTGAAATATGGCTGGTGCTTCTGGAACTACCCTAGCAGTCTTGATAAGTACAGTGCTTCTAGGATTAGAGTTCAAACACTCTTGAGCATCTCTTATTCTCTTGAACTGTTCTGAATACCCTAGATTCACCCTGTGTAAAACCCTGCTTTTTGTGCCCTTCTCACCATACTCATTGTCAAATTAATTTTCAACTCAATTTGGATATGATCACTAAGCTTGGTATGTTGCATTGTTGGGTCTTTCACAATAATATCCTCATATTTTTCTTCCAACCATTTTTGAGTGACCAATTTTAACTTGTATTTGTTGTTGCACCTATACCTTTCTTTCCAACTACAGTGGCAGAGAAAATGACATCCATAAACACATTTCACCCTAACTCTCATACTCTCATTTTTGTAAAAGTATATATCCCTTTTGAAGTGAACTGCATACTTTATCATGCCAGTCTTAAACTGCCTTGCATCTTCAAATAACATGCCTTTTTCAAGCTCAGGGAAATCACACTCTGAATTATAAGATGGCAACCTAAATTTCCTAGATGGAGGTGTCATATGTTGTGTAACTACTTCTTCTTCTGACTCTTGAGTTGGTGGGTCTGCTGAGTCATAATAGTAGTCATCACTACATATATCTTTCTCAGTTTTCTTAGCTTCATTGTCCTTAGCCTTGGTGGTCTTAACCTTGCCCTTAACCTCCTTTCCCTTTCCCTTTCCCTTACACTTAACAGTAATAAATTCAAATGCGGCGGGGTCTTCCCGTGCGGCGGTGCGGCGGAATTCCAGAATACACCAACAGTGTTAACAATATGCACCAACAGTGTAAGAAAAACACACCACAATGAAATGCAATAAAACATCACAGAATACACAACAGACTCAAAAAAATACACCATATAACTCACCACCCCCAATGGTGTATTTCTTAACAGTGTATGGTGTTTTTACTCACACCTAATGGTGTGTGTTTGGTGATGCAGGGCTCTGTTTACTCTGTTTTTTGTGGTGTATTTTCCTAACGTTGGTGGTGCATATTTGTTGAACTATTGGTGTTGCCGCACCGTAAGACACTGCATATATATATATATATATATATATATATATATATATATATATATATATATATATATATATATATATATATATATATATATCACATGACTTAAATATAATTGCTATTACACTGAGGTCTAACACAATTGCATAATTTCACAAAACTCTTAGTTTCTCCATTTGCTCATGCACTGCTTTATAATATAGTGTCTCTATTTTTCATACTGCCCTTCCTTTATGAGTTTCACTAAGTGTGGGTATGAAAACAAATCAGGGTCTATATCAACATGCCAAACAACCCCATTTATGTACTGCACTTTTAAATCCTTAACAAGATTTCCCCATGGTGTATTATTAGTTCAACACTGCTCATCACTTGGGAACCTAACAACAA